CTGCTCGCGAAGGTGGAGACGGAGGCGGCCATGGCGCACTCCACACGACGTGATTCAACTCACGGCCATGGTGAAAGGTTCTTATTTGGTTTTGGTGATTGAGTGACAATCTTAGGTGGACTAATGTGTTTAAATAAGATACACATGTGATTAGTCTACAGGTATATGTGTGTGAGCAACATATGCCATGACGGTGATGATGGCTCAAAGATGTTGCAAAGCTCACACATGTCATAATAAAGGGGCTTATTGCACATGAGACATGACACGGAGTCATGTGATCAAGGTGGAGAAGATCAAGACATGACTTGGCTTGATGGACCGGTTGCAAGCGTGAAGGGCAAATCGGAGGCTTTGGAGCGATGGACCGCGTGGTGGTGAAGCTTGAGCAAGACTTGGCACCGATGGACGAAGGCAATGGTGAAAAGGAAGTTAAGTCAAGATCGATGAACCAATATGATCACGTGATGATATGAAGTGGATCATATCATTGTTGATTGTGTTGGTGCATGTGTTGCATCGACATTGGAGGAAATGGAATGAAATGTGCAAGGCAAAGGTATAACCTAGGGCATTTCATTTCACCGGTCATAGGTGAGTAGAGAAGTTTATCACCGGGTTTAGGATAGATGGCTGTACTATCAAGAGGGATAAACTTGTTTGCATATCGGTCATCTAGTGCCACTCGAGTGATCTAACTTTGCATCGTCGCTAGAATCGAGTGGCGTGGCAAGTTTAGTGGCTAATCCTTTAAAAAATATTTGTGAAAAGCTAACACACATATACATGGTGGTGTACACTTAGTGGTGTTGGCACATTTGCAAAGGAGAAGAAGTTGGTGAAGAAAATGAGTTGAATGTGCTGGTCACGGGGTGATCGGACGCGTCCGGTATCTTCCCGACGTGAACGAACGCGTCCGGTATTCTGGCCAGGCGCGGTAGAGTTAACGAGGTGGCCGGACTCTGGGTCGTAGCAGTGACTGGATGCTGAGAAATCACTGTTTAGCGTCCGGTCGAAGTGACGTGGGGCGTAGGTGTTGGTCCAGAGAGGACCGGACGCAGGGTTGCGTCCGGTCGGCCACACCGGACGCGTCCGGTCGCAGTTGAGCGGCTCTGGGAGCTCTCTGAACTTGACCGGACGCAGCGATCGGACGTGTCTGGTCGCCACACCGGGCGTGTCCGGTGTGAACCAACAAGACTCAGGTTTCAGCGCTACAATTGATCGGACGCTAGGAGCGTCCGATCCGGTGTGACCGGACGCGTCTGGTCGGCCTAGAGCGGCTCTGGAAGCTCTTTGGACTCGACCGGACACTGCGTCTCCCGCGTCTGGTCGTTTTCTAACAGCGCGTCCGATCACGCAAAGATAGCCGTTGGGCGTGAATGGCTAGACAATTTTGAATGGGACATGTGGCGGTCAGACTGCGACCAAATGCAGCGATCGAACACGCCCGGTGCACATGTCCTGCGCGTCCGGTCGTCCCAAAAAACTCCCAGTGAAGGGGTAACGGCTATTTTAGCCCGCAGGGCTATAAATAGAAGTGTTGGTCGGCCTTTGACCGTAAGCTTAGAAGAGCTTAGCACACTAGAGTCTTGGTGGCTTATGTGGTGGTGCTTGGGAGGTCTCTAACTCACTATAGCTTAATAGTGTTCATCCGATTGAGTGAGCGATTCTAGTGCGATTGCATCGTGAGGTTGCATTAAGTGGCACTAGGTGATCGTCTTGTAAGTCGATGGTGCTTGTTACTCTTGAAGGTTGCCACCTCCTAGACGGCTTGGTGGTGGTATCCGTCGAAGCACGCAAGAAGCTTGTGCGGTGATCCAGAGAAGAGCTTTTGTGAGGGGCATTGTGCTCGTCCCGCGGAAGCCGTGAAGAGCAACTCTAGTAGAGCGAGACGCGAAGGGCGACAAGTGATCCGACCGGGTCAAGTGCTAGAGCTTGTGGTAAGCACTCCACGTGGGAGAGTGTGACTTGCGGGTCACCACTAGCAAGAGAACCGGTGGCAACCTCGGTGCTTGTCTCAATAGGGACGTAGCGTGTTGGCAAGCACGTGAACCTCGGGAGAAAATCACCGTGTCAACATTGTTCTTCCCGTTGGTTTGCAATCCCCTTACAAAAGCTTGTAATTACTTTCATATACATTGTGCTTGTGTAGTTGCTCTTGCAATTAGTTAGCTTGTGTAGCTCACTAGTTACCTTCTTGCTTGTGTAGCATAGAAGTAGCTCATTTGCGTAGCTAATTTGGTTTGTGTAACCTTATTAGTCACATTGTTTAGTTTGTGTAGCTAAGTATTTACGCTCTCTAATTTGACATTGATTGCCTTGTTATTGAGCATTGCTAGTGAGCTTATGAGCTTTTGTGCTTTTGCTTACTAGAATTGTGTAGGAGCTTCCCGGTGTGCAAAATACTAGTGGCATAGGTTTGTGTGACCTTATTCCTAGAATTGGATAGGTGAGCTCTAGCTAACCCGGAACTTCGATAGAGGGGTGTAGTCTTGGCTAGACCGATTGTTTTAATTCCGGATTTGTTTCAGTTAGCCGGCGTGATTAAATTTAGAAAGGACTATTCACCCCCCTCTAGTCCGTCATCTAGACCCTACACATGGCCGCGCCTCCCTCCATCGTGCCAGCGCGCCCTCCTCTCTGGCGGCTCTGGCTCCGGCCTCTCCGCTCCCTGGCTATATCTCCTCCCCGCCCAGATCTCCCCCCATGACGTCTCCGCCCGTACGTGCTCCCCTGCTGTAGGGCCGGCTCTTTCTCCTCGCCGCTCTACATGGTCATGCCGTCCGCGACGCCTCCCTCCTGTACACGGCGGCCGCTTCCCCGGGTGGTTGCGGGGATAGCTCAGTTTTTAGAGCAGAGGATGACAAGTGGGTTCCAATTGTCAGTCTATTAAAAAGGATTTGGGGCTTCTGCCGGAAGAGATTGCAACAAAAATAGAGGGAGCACCTAAATCAGATATAGGGACCCTAATTTAGGTGCTCCTGCTGGAGTTGCTTTAAGGTGTGATTTTGGGAGGAAGAACATGAAACATGAGTGTTTGACTGCAAGAATTAGGGCCGCGTTGAATTATTGCCTTATTGGACTGCAGTTTTCCGAGAATCGAGCGCAGGGGGGGGGCAAAAGCTTAAGCCGTTAAGCAGATCATTTGGGTCTCTCTGTTTTAATTTTCCGAGCAAGCAAAGCCAAATTTTCCATAATTTTTAAAAGAGATAGAGTCATTTTTCCATTGTGGAACGAGATACTATGTGCGCACGCACAATGACCCATGAATACTTGAGCTATTCGTGACATCAGCATATGACTTTTACTATTTCGTCGTTAAACCTTCAAGGTCTATCCTAAGTCAATCATTTCAATCACTGATATAAATACCTAAGAGGCTGTTCAGCTGCCTGACTGTGGCTGCGCTTTTTTACTTTTGATTGCCTATGGATGTCAGCCTGCTACTTGCCTCCTTTCGCATGTGCGGGGCTGCTGCAACAGTAAATTTATATTTATATATTGATTGGCGGCATAATATTTGGATTACTGGATTCACACTAATACTTTATAGTATATAACTTTTTTTGTATGGTAATTATTTTTTTAAATAAAATCAGGAGGGGCAAGCCCCTACTGGTTAAAATACTATATTAAAAAAGAACGAGCTGTTTACAACTATGATAATCATTTCAAATAGGAGTACTGTTATGGTATAGACTTACATTTTGGATTGTAGGAAATATAATTACCTTTGATCGCTGACTTGCATTTTTATTAGAAAAAAATCCTAGCAACCCATTTCTAGACATATCACTTAGTAGCTGTAACATTTTTCACCCACGCGTGAAAATCTAGTGATGCAAAACACAGGTCAAACGAGGAGGCAGGCAGAGCAAGGCGAAAGATGGCTGGAGTGGGCACTATAAATGCTGCCTTTTCTTCTGGGGAAGAATGGCGCAGTGCAGAGGGAAAAAATGGATTACCGCGTGTTCAGTTCCACCCTAAATTTTAAAAAAGTGCTACGGTATATATCACATCGAATATTTACGGTCTGTATATGGAGCATTAAATGTAGACGAAAAAAAATTAATTGCACAGTTTGGTGGGAAATTACGAGACGAACATTTTAAGCATAATTAGTCCATGATTGAACACTAATTATCAAATAAAAACGAAAGTGCTATAATTACCCCAAATTCCAACTTTGTGAAACTAAACACGCGATGGAACGGAACAACAACGGTGCAGCAGCACAACGGAAGCAGTCGCCACCACTCCCAAGTTCCCCTCTCGAGAAATTAGGACCGGTAGAGCCCATCTCTGAGCGCGGCCTTGCTGGTCCTGCATCAGCTCCCTCCCCTCTCTCATCCCTCTTCCCTGGTCTGGTTTGGTTGCTTCTCCTGTAGTTTTTGGTCTCCCTCCCTCTTTGCTTGCTTGCGCTCTCCATATATCCTGTGGACCGGAGAAGATGCTCTGATCTACCTGTCTGTTCTTCGATCGAGTCTCAGAGATTTAGGAGGAGGAGGAGGAGGGGGAAGCAAAGCGAAAGAGCCCATCTTTTTTTTAGTCTTTTCGGTTCGGTTTCCTGGTTGCTTCTTTTGGTTCCCGCGGAGGAGCCCACCGTTTCTACAAAAACCCAATCTTTGCTGCCTTCCCCGCGCCCGAGATCGATAGGTTTCCAGATCTAAGGCTGCTTCCTCTGGCTGTGAGATCGCAGGCGCAGCAATCCGGGCGCGCAGCTACTAGGGAAAAATATCCGAGAAAAGGTAATTCCTTTTTCTTTTCTTTGCTTCCCCTCCCAATGCAAGGAAAGTATGGTGGACTTGCTGGCCTTCCTCCCTTCGATCATGCAATTTGGGTGCTAGATTCGCGGTGGTTGATCTTCATGTGCGTCCTGTTTGGTTCCAATTGCAGATTTTGTTGCGGAGACGGAGCGAGAACAAATTGCTGGACAAGGAAAGGGTAAAGGAATGGTCTTCGTCACGAAGTGGGCGATGGGGAGGCGGCAGAGATGAGGGATGCTATCGGCTGCGATGGATTACCTGAAATCTTGCTGGGGGCCGGCATCACCGGCCGGGCGCCCCCGCAAAGGATCGGACGCCACCGGCCGCCAGGACGGGCTCCTGTGGTACAAGGACGGCGGGCAGGTCGTCGATGGTGAGTTCTCCATGGCCGTGGTCCAGGCCAATAACCTGCTGGAGGATCATAGCCAGGTTGAATCCGGGCCGCTGAGCACATCGGAGCCTGGACTGCAAGGCACCTTCGTCGGGGTCTATGATGGGCATGGTGGCCCGGAGACGGCGCGGTACATCAATGATCATCTCTTCAACCACCTGAGGAGTAAGGCCTCCACCGCTGCTGAAGTCCATGCCTTAGATCAAATAACAATCAAGCTATGCTATCGGACTTACGATCAATACATCTAATATTCTGATATGCAAGCTGTGTGTATGAGTTGATGTTGATTGCTCTTGAGTAAAGATGTTTGCTATTTCAGTGACACTTGATTTTATGCATGCATTGCATAGAACGTGGTTCTATGTATATTGACATGGAAAAGCACGCTCAAATTTGAATGCAGTTATGTTTAGATAAAGGCCAAAGTTATCCTAAATTCGATCTTGATATAACTGGGAATAGAATGGAAGCACATCATTGCATGGAACAGTTTGGTAACTGTAAAACTGCTAGAAATTATTGATCATTGCGAAAGGATAGTGTCTTCTGTGATTCTGTCACATCTTCTAGTTATATCACAATTTGTTTTAACTGCTTACCTTTTCTCATTTATGCTTTTGCATGACAAACTTTGGTTTCCAGGATTCGCATCTGAGCACAAGGGCATGTCAGCAGATGTGATTCGGAAGGCATTCCGAGCGACTGAGGAGGGTTTCATTTCTGTAGTTAGTGACCAATGGTCAGTGAGACCTCAGTTAGCAGCTGTAGGCTCTTGCTGTCTAGTTGGCGTGGTTTGCAGCGGAACTTTATATGTTGCAAACCTTGGGGACTCCCGTGCTATTCTTGGGAGACTTGTCAAGGGAACTGGAGAGGTTTTGGCAATGCAGCTCTCAGCAGAACACAATGCATCCTATGAGGAGGTTAGACGAGAGCTGCAGGCATCACATCCTGATGATCCCCATATTGTGGTCCTAAAACACAATGTTTGGCGTGTAAAGGGTATTATCCAGGTACATTAGCTTTTGCATAAGATGAAGTTGGCTGTCTTTTGTCTATTCATTCTGACCCATCAATCCAAATATTTTTAACAGTGCAGAAAAAAAAAACTGCTGAGACCTTTATTCTCATCATAGCTGAGATTTGCATTATGTGGGTAGCCAGCTTTATCTTCTGTGGCTGCATTTTCGTTTTATCTTGATGTTATGTTATCACTTAAGTATATTTATTTGTATTCAGGAATCATGAGTATTACTATAGCCATGGACCAACCTTTTAAAATACCTATGTGGGTGCAGTAATCTACAATGTTATTATGACCGATGTGCTGTAAGGTGTTGAATTTAGTTTTCATATTGCATTCTCCCCTAGTGAATTTATTATTATTATTATTATTTTTTGATAAAGTGAACTTATTATTCATGCTGCACCCTTAATGGAAGTTAAGATAGGTATAGGTGCATATTCTAGGTTAATCATTTTGTAAGTGATCTTGGTCTGGTAGTAATGGTAACTATGAAATCAACTTTGTTTTCTTGTAAATGCCATTCCAATTACTTGTGCTGCGTAGTGCATATATGCATTTGAGATTCTGTCATGCAATCTTGCTTGTTGAATTGCTTTGCTTCCAGGTTGCGTCTCACATGGCATGATCATTTGTTGCAGATAACAAGGTCAATTGGAGATGTGTATTTGAAGAAACCAGAGTTCAATAGAGAACCTTTGCACAGCAAGTTTCGTCTTCAGGAAACTTTCAGAAGACCACTTCTTAGTTCCGATCCAGCAATTACTGTACACCAAATACAGCCAACTGATAAGTTCATCATTTTTGCATCTGATGGACTCTGGGAGCATCTTAGTAATCAGGAAGCGGTTGACATGGTCCAAAGTAGCCCGCGTAATGTATGTATTCTTATCTTATGTTTAGTTTCTGTAACTTGGTCTTTTCGAGACTCAGTGCTAAATCATGTTATTACTTGCCTGATCAATACTATACATGCAATTATAGTAGTTTAATCATATTTTGACATTCATTTCTGTTTAGGTAATGGATGTATTTTTGTCTAAGAAATTTGAGAACAATATTTGTGCATTTTTAGAAGCCTGTCCTAAGTTCATTCAAGATGCTATGGATTAAGCATTCCCTCAGTTGTAGGCCATTAATGGAAGCCTGTTCTAAAAATGCACAGTTTATTTAAGCATTTCCTCAGTTGTAGGCGATTAAGCATTCAAGTTTATACAGACCTACTTTTGTTGTATGATTGATTATTGATACTATTGTTGTATGATTGATTATTGACTGTCTCAAAATGTAACTGAAGAAACCGTACTGCACTGTGGCTCACGCCGCTGCAAGTTTGTACTTTTGGCTGATACTGAATTAGACCATCTCCAGGATAATCTGGGATGCACTATCTTCATTGTGTGGACCATTTTCGTGTCACTTGAATCGTTGTTACTTGAGTTGAAGGTTTACATGCATAGTTTTGGTTGTTGCCGGTACAATTTAGTGGTTTACATGCTGTTCTGGACAGTGATACAGGATCCAAAACGTAACTCTGACCATATATTTCTGTTGGGGGTAGGGGCGGCTGTGCCTACCCCCCCCCCATGTAAAAAGGCCTAGTGCCTAGTAGGTTTGAGGACCTTCATGTAAATTCGTGAACTATAAGGGGTGGGGAGGAAGATGCACCTCCCACCTTTATAGAACCCAAGGGCAAGGGGGAACTCTCTTCCCATTCCATTCTCCTGTGTGGGACTAGCACCCTAGCTTTCCCTTCACCCCGGTGAAGTTACCTTCGTCCGTCTGGGTGAAGGTACGAAATAGGGCTATATCCCAACAATTTCTATTGTACTTCCTCTGTCCCAAATTATAAGACGTCTAGAAAAAAATATGAATCTAGAAAAGCCAAAACGTCTTATAATTTGGAACGGAGGGAGTAGTATGTTTATAAAACCAAACAAAAGTTGTAATATCATGAAAATACTTTTTGAGATCAATCGCAAATGATTTTCAATGTTACAGACCCTGATATTAAAATGATGTTTATTGACAAAATTTCAAAAGTTGACTTAATGTATTTTAAAAAGACATGTATCTGTATCTCGAGGGAGTCTCATTTTGTAAATCTCATACAATTGCAGTGTTCTTAAAAGAACTTTTTTTACTACTATATTATTATGATAATAACAGTCAAGGTTTATATTGGATACTGTGTCAATGGCATATAAACATGTAATGATAGAGATAAGGGAGTATTTTGAGAAAGTACAGTGACGGGTCCACAAACTTTCTCAAGTTAAAATCGTGACCCCTATTACAATATTTTTGTTGTTTTATTACTCTTTACACAATGACACCACTTGCCGTTATTTTGATGCCACTCTTAACTTTTATGTACCAGGGAATTGCTCGAAAGTTAGTAAAGTCTGCAATGCAGGAAGCAGCAAAGAAGAGGGAGATGCGGTATTCAGACCTCAAGAAAATTGATCGGGGGGTGAGGCGGCACTTCCACGATGATATAACTGTCATTGTGGTGTTTTTCGATTCAAATGCCATGACAACTGCTGCCTGGAGCAGACCCTCGGTCTCTCTCCGAGGGGGTGGGGTTCCAATCCCTTCAAACACCCTTGCTCCATTCTCAGTTCCCACAGAGCTAAACAACTCTTACTGAAACCACACTGGATGTGAAGGGCCAGGCAAGAGGATAAAAAAAAAGTAAAGGAGAAAGGTAAAAAAGAAGAAGAAAGAAGAGCAGTTGTGATCAGCTGCAGTGTATTTCACCGTTTGTGTTCATGTAAAACCTTTTTTTAGATTTTCAACCTGGTGACTAGCGCAACTGATAGCAAGGTATAAGATTAGATTATTCTTAGCTTTTTTGGCCCTCTTTTTCTTTTCCTTACCCTTTAGATTCACTTATGGGATATCAGGTGGTTGTACATTCTCCGGATCAACTTGTGATAATAGTTCATCGCTCCCTTCTTTTGCCATAAAGTGCTGTTCCGTCATGTCATCCCAAGATTGATCTGGTTGTCTAGCTGAGATGCTCTCCTATCTCCACGCACCAGGGCATTGTTGCCTGGTTTGTTGGGACTTGGGAGAAGCCTCTCGACACTGTTGACATGGTGTGGCACATGCATAGCAGATTTGGGCTTGTGTGGTAGGGCTTCTCAAGTCCTTTGGAGGAGCCACTTTTGATGGCTCCAGCTCCTGGTGGTCCAAAAATAGCTCTGGCTTCTCTATTATTTATTTTGCCCTTTTTAGTTCTCAAACTATTGTCAGTCTGATTTTGGAGCTTCAACAAGACAATTTTGATCCTTAGACTATTGAAATCGCAAATTGGATGTTTTCAGCCCTTAGCCTATTAGCCTCCGTTTGATACGCCGGCATGGCAAACATGCTAAGGCCCTGTTTGATCCCTATAGATAGTAGTTATCTACTAATCATTATGCTTTTTTATCAAAACATATATAGATTAATAGACTAGCTAATTGTTTAGCTTGAGCTTTAAATAACTACTATCCCATTAATTGAAACAAATCAGATAATAGCTATTATAAATAGTACTCTCTCCGTCCTAAATTGTAAGACGTTTGACTTTTTTGGCCCTAAGTTTGATCACTCGTCTTATTCAAAAAATTTATGCAAATATAGTCAAATTTAAGTCATTCTTGAAGAATTTTTATTAATAAACCAAACCACGACGAAAGAAGTGATATTTTACATAAATTTTTGAATAAGACGAGTGATCAAATTTGATGTCAAAAAAATCAAACGTCTTACAATTTAGGATGGATTGAGTAGTTTGCATATGTCAGCCTTTCCTACCTTCTTCCTGCCTTTTCTTCTTGTCATGGGGTGCCGTGGCCTACAACAGCAAGGCCACGCCGCTCCATGACCTCGCAGGCTCGCACAAAGACATGCCGCTGCATCCAGAACCGCTCGGCAGCATCTCGTTCATTTCTACGCTAAACCAAAGTGGGCTGCAGAAAATTGGAGGGGATTGAGAGAGATTTTGACCGAAGGGTATTAAATTCTCCTTATTCCTCTCTAACCCCTTGGTTTGGGTTAGAAACAAACAAGGCCTGATGGAAACACGTACGTCTTTTTAACTATTAATCTTATTTCCTAAGAAATTAAACGTATTCAATTTTGACTAAATATATAAAAGAAAATATTAATATTTATGTTATAATTAAAATCATTAGCTATATCGTTAAGCCTATCTTTATAATAAACTTATATAGAGATATAAATGTTATTATTATTTTTATAATCCTAATTAAATTTAATAATTTGACCAGCACAAATACCAATCATAGAGACGTTTGAAAAAGGACTCAGAGAGTAGAACGCATCATTGTCCACCGAATCGACAAAGATGTTGGCGAGATTTCTGCATCATTCTCCACCGAATCGACAAAAATGTTGGCGAGATTTCTATGAAGCTCGAGCGCCGCTGTATGTAACATATTGCGATTTGCGACGGTACTATATATGTACGAGTACACGTATGGGCTCGTTCAAGAGAAAACTACGTGTAGTAGTTAGTACTCCTTAAGCTAGAGCCAACTATGAAGCGCATGCCACATACACCGCGCATGAATTTCCTCTAGTTAATAATTGCCACACTTCATATAGGAGTCTGGTGAATCGTGGTAGAGCTATGACCAAAACACGTACTTTGCGTATTGCCAAGCAGCTTGCATGATGGACCATGTATGGGCTATTCACGTGACCAAGTGTTTCGGCCTATAAACTATTCGTGGCCCAAATTGATTTTAATGAGCAAGATGTTTTTTTCGTTCGTATGGGAATCGACATGGTTCCACTCAAAAAAAAAAAAAGTGAAGGACAAGTGGGGAATGATGTAGCAATTTTTTTCACAAGCAGCCGAACAAAATCAACTTGATCATCTAAATTCTAAATAGCCTATCTCATGAAAAGCTTTATGCAAGCATCATTGCTGAAGAAAAGACCAGCTGAACAACAAACTGAAACATGTTATGAAATGAAGAACATCCACACACCCAAGCATCTGCCGACAACAAAGAGAGATAGGGCTCAACTGAGCAACCAACACGCTAACCAAAATATGAGAAGAGCTGATCCTTAACAACTGATCCACTCATCATGGGAGTCACAATTCGTCAGGTGGAAGAGAACGATCAGTAGACTGGGCACGAGATGTGGCTATAGTCGACTAAACAACATCACCTGCCGATTGCCCAAAAACTTGCACAGAAGATGGTAGCTCCAAAACAGAAAGAAAAGCAATCTGTACAAGAAACCAACCGTTGCTGGATAATATAATTTCATGGCAACATTTTTCCACTGCCAGCAAGAGCTACATCTAATGATGTTAACAGAAGTAGTATATCGATCATCACATCATCTCGTTTATGCTAATGAGAAATTACACGTACTCATCTTATGGACCACTCGTGAGATGTTATGTACGGTTTTCATGCTATCCCCACGGTTCTCTAATATCCTCAGAACGCCTGCTTCCTTTCTGCAAACATCACAAGGCTCTCTGCCATCTTGCCTTTGCTTTGTGCTCAAGGACCCAGCAGCTTCTTCCACCAGGCATAACAAAATAAGAGGATGCTGATTACAAAGCAGGCGGATGAGGTGCCCCCGACAAATGGCCAGAAGAGGCTGCCATCAGTGATGTTGTACAGAGAGCTCGGGATGTTCATTGCAAAAGCTCCAGCAATGAAAGTGTTGGCAGCTATGCCAAAGGATACAATGGTCAGTGTAAGCTGGAGTTGAATGAGTTCATTACGCTGGTTGTCCAGTTGAATGTTGACGTAGTCTTCTGTGTCATCAATATACTCCCGAACCTGTTTTATTTTCAAGGAGAGATCATATCAGAACAGAAACAATCAAAATCTTGTAGTCCCTCCGTTCCAAATTGTAAGTCGTTCTATTTTTTCTGGGTACATAGTTTTTGCTACACATCTAGATACACATGATGTCTAGATACATAACAAAGCTATGTATCTATAAAAGTCAGAATGACTCACAAATTGGAATGGAGGGAGTACTACTTTAACTTGTATAGACTGAGCTCTGTGTTTGGTAGAAAACAAAAGGAATATATCTTAGCATGTGTATTCTCTCTAGCATAAGCAGATTATGTATCAGGAGACAGCATCATATAATTACATAACCAACAATACAGGGCAATACATGCTATTTCAGTGTGGATAAAGAGACTAACCGACAAAATTCTGTTGCGAATTCCATCCAGCTGCATGAAGTAGGCCTCAAGTAACATTTCTAGGTCTTCCACATCATTATCCAAATGCATGCTGGTAGCAATGCTCATGCTACGCCGAAAACTAGAGTTCAGCCTGGGCACACCTGTTCCGGCAGGAACAATGCTGTTGGAAGCAGCAGATGACATTAAAGCCTCAACCTGTTGGTTTTGTACTTGCTTCCTTGTTAGATACAGATGTTCCATGTCTTCATTATCATCTAGAAGGTGTTCTATTTCATCCCTGACCTGATAAGATACGATAAATAAATACATAACAGATCCCAGTACAGCAGCATATGAGATATCACCAAGATTGTCACAAGCACAACAGAAACACTCAGCAGCTCACCACAATATGATGTAAACAATAGGCTTAAGAGAGAACGAAAGAGAGCCCTACAGTTTAATTCCAAAAACGAAAATTCAATGGCTTGTTTCTATTTGTCTTCCCGCAGCTAAAATTAACCATGCCTCTTTTACAAATCCATAGTGGATACACAACTGTAAGTAAGGGCAGACCCAGTGTCGGAGGCTCCCACATGGGTGGGGTCTGGGGAAGGGATAAACCGAGACAAGCCTTTCCCCCGCAACATCTGCGGAGAGGCTGCTTCGAACCCACGACCTGGTGACTCGGTGAGACAGCTCTCACCACTGCACTAACCTAGTAAGTACACCGAGGAATTCTTTTTGCATGAGCATCAGGCTAGATAAGAAGATCAGAGCAAAAGTCAAGCTGAATTGGTTTGTGACTCTATGCACAAAGCAACTAAAACTATAGCAATTTACAACATGAGACAATCTAAGCTGCACAGTTATAAACAGACACGGTATACAGGGCTGTTTGAAGAACTCAATCATATTTCCATTGTTGCAAATAGAATAGACTGTTGGAAACCAATTAATTAGGATTATCTTAGTAATATAATTCAATGGTACTTTGATCTACAAAATTGACATGCAACAATAAGAAACAACCATGGTTATAAACTACTCAAATTCAGGTAGACTGAGGAATTAAGCACACATAGTCTTTCTTTAATGATACCTTTTGCACACGGGCAAGCAAACGGGTAAGATGACTCTTAAGGCTCCGCACTCGCTCAAGGTTCCTCGTGCTCACATTTTTGGTCAGCTCGTCAAGCACTGGAGTAGCATGCCTCTCAAGGCCAGCCACGCTAAGGTCCAACGATGAGCACACAACCTCAAGCGCGACCTCCAGCACATGGAACTCGAATGGCAGCTCGTGCTCTGCACCAGTCGCCTCATTAAGACAGGGCACCTGGCCTCCAGGCGAGCCCTTCTGCTTTTCCCCATTGCCATCAGGGGCACATTCACCATTCCCACCCACCAGGCTCCTCAGAGGCAGGTGCTGCCTCAATTGGTCAACGAAAGGGAGCACTTCGTGCACTAGAGGGTCCAACAGGAGCACCTCTTCGGCAGTCACTATCACCCTGATGAATTCGAGGTTGATCACCATCGCCTTCTCCCTAGCTGCAGAATAAATCATTGTACATTACTAGGACGATACCAAAGTTTGCGTCTTCTTGCTTTTATCACCACAAAAAACAAATGATCGAATATTAAATAGGGCGGGGAGAGGGGGGTGGCGGGGTGTGCTCACCGAGGATGCTGGAGGAACGAGAGAAAACGGGGCCGAGGATGCGTAGGTCGCGCGGGGGCAGGCCGGCGCGGCGGATTATGGAGGCCTTGTCGAGCTCAACGACCTCGGAGGTACCCCAGCGGTCCAGCCGCATCCACAGGCGCGCGCCGGCCTTCTTCTTGGTGACCTTCCCCGACACGGCACCCCCGGCGCCCGCGGTGGCCGAGAGGGGAGGGGGCAGCTGCGCGGTCTGCCCCGCCGCCGCAGAGCCCGGGGTCGCAGACGGCGAAGCGGCGGAGGGGGAGGCGAGAAGAGCCCTCGTCGCGTTGTCCTGCTTGGAGGAGGAAGGGAGGCGGCGCGCGGAGCGATTCCGCTTGGAGGAGGACGAGGAGGAGGAGGATCTGGTGAAGAACGGCAGCTTCCGACCGCCGGATCGCTTCCCCATGGCGTCGCGGCGGCGGCGTGCCGCGGCACGGCACGGTCCACGGGGGTGAATGGGGTCGGACAGCGGGATCGGTCGTCGTGGTCCAACTCCAATCTGTGGTAGACGAGTGGGCCGGCCAGGGCCAACCGCTCGTGAGCGGAAGCCCTAGGATGCTGATCGGACGGCTAAAATGGCGTGCAGCGTCAACGCACCAAGCAGCCGCGCTGGCAAAGCGCTAGCGAAAGGGAGACCACAATCCACAAGCTAAGAGGATGATATCTTCCCGTTCTCGCCGCCGGCGCCGATGGCTGCAACACCCGCTGCCGCCGTTCTGCTCCCGCGTCCGCTCACCCCAAGCTCCGGTGCTTCCACTTTCCCCCATCGTGCCCGGGTGCCGCGCGGTCCCTCCTCCATCTCGGTGCGGCCACTGAGGAGACGACGGTGCCAGTGGCGCGGCTCACTCCGATCGCTGCCCCGCGAAGGTAATATGCGTAGTGTGGTGGCGGAAGCTGCGCGCTTCAGCTAGCTTGGCGGTACTCGGTTTTGGTTCATTTATGTGATAAACCCGTGCGTCTCAGGAGCTCCGGCCGAGCTGATGGAAGAGGACTCCAAGTTTGTGCCGTTGAACGCGGATGATCCCATGTACGGCCCACCGGTGAGTCGCAGCTCGCAGTTGTTCTACACTTCTATCGTTGCATGCCTATCATGCGAGTACATGGAAACGCTGCAAATTACAGTATATCATACTCCTATATGTGAATTTCAGGCGCTATTGCTCATCGGATTTGAGAAAGGCGAAACTGTCACGGTAAATCAGTGATGTCAATTTGCAGAGCATTAGTATCTTTCTCCATTTTTGCACTATTATTACATTTAAAAGAACCAAAGCGCTTCAATGATGGTGCTCGCTGCTCAGTAATTTTTTTAGGGAAAAAGGAAAGAGACTACCTCTGCCTTGAAGAGGATGCAATTCTAGCTCTGTACTTAGTAAAAAAAATCTAAAGTTTGACAAAATTTATCAAAAAGATAACAGGTATATATGACACCAAATAGGTATATTCATGATGGATCTAATAATACTAATTTGGTATCATAAATATTGATACCCTTTGTATAAACTTGATCAAACTTTAGATGATTTGTATAAACTTGGTGAAATGCTAGAATTGCATTCTTTTCAGGACAGAGGGAGTAATATTTGGTAGTAAAATTAAAAATGATCACACATAAGGCTGTGCTTCGTCAGATTCCACCAAGCAGATGGCTTCCCTGTATATTGTATACCTGAGTTCTAGATACTCTATGTGCCCCAGGTATAGTTTTCTTGCAAAAATTTCATGTTGCCATGTAGGCATCTGCTCAGAAACCTGAACGTTCATGTTTGTTTAAAAAAAGTGGTAGAAAAAAATCATATATGTCTTGCATTTATTGTCATTGGCGGTAGTAAATAATACTCCCTCTGTTTCAAATTAAGACGTTTTGGCTTTTCTAGATACATTGTTTTTATTATGCATCTATTGTTTTTATTATGCATCTAGACATAGTGTATATCTAAGTGCATAGCAAAAACAACGTATCTAGAAAAGACAAAACGTCTTATAATTTGAAATGGAGAGAGTACTTTGTGTTGTGCTGCCAGTTCCACCTTACGTGAGTTCCACAATTTGTGCAGATTCAGGCCTTCCTGAAAGAGCTTGAAGGTGAATTCCTCAAGGCAAGTTGTGCATCGGCTGTCACTGACATGCGAGAATGCTCTATCCATATACATGTTGATTAGAGTGATGAAGTCACTTGTTTATTCCATATACTGTCAGCAAACTAGAGTACCTTTTAACAGTTTTGCCATTCATATGTAATTATTCTGCCTAGGTTAGCTGTCAGTTTGCTATACTAGAGAAAATAGTTCTGCTATATGTTATTGCAGATGGTACATGAACTGAACAAATATATGTACTCTCCAGCAAGAAAATAAGTGAAATAAATTTGAGTTGATGGGTCAAAGATTTACTTTATTTGTGATGTGTTGTAAATAAATGTCAACAATGGTACACTTATTAGCAATATAATTCAGTTTATAATGCCTTTCTCTTGTTGTTGTCCTTAGTGCGATTGCAGTTTTTAGTTGGTAGATGCAACCCTGAAAATTCATCCAAGTTTGTTTTGGTTTTGTTCTCACAATACTTTTAACTTGACTCAGGTGATTCATTGTACAGAGGAGATGACAAAGCAAACCTTATGGGATGCCATGCACACTGAGCAGCCTGATTTGGAAGCTGTCAAGGTTTGCACCAAGACATTGTAAACATATTTTTTAGTTTTTAGAATGCTAGTGCATATACTTTTATTGAGAATTTAGTTTGCGACATTTATTGGTATTTTATTCCCTACTCTTAAATTTGTATCTGAAACTCTAGCTAAGGCGCATGTCCAATTCACAGATTGCATCCAATTCACAGATTGCAGGATCACTGCCGAGGATATGCATATTTTCTGGTCTGACTGGCGAGGAGATGATGATGTTCATCAATGCCTTCCCAGAAACTGGTAAGTCAAAAGTTCTGCCTTAAATTATGAAATGGTGAAATGTATAAGGTGAAACTCTGTAATCAAATAAATAAACTGAACTTCAACGCTTTAAGGTCAGATCTCATAAAATTGTCAGCTTTTTATTTACTTCTTTTCAGGGTTGGAACCAGCTGCTTTTGCTGCGCTTGTTCCTAACAGTGCAGAGAAGGTTCTCGGCGAGGTGATTGAGGAAATAATGGGAGACCATGAGATGCTGGTTAGTTCTGATTTGTACTAACATCATAGTAATTGTTCTGTTTTTCCTGCTCTGAGTCAAGTCCTCCATTATGCTTGCAGACAGGAAAGGATTCCAAATGAGAAAAATCTGAAGTACACACACGTAAAGCAGAATAACATGGCCTATGAAGAAAATTCAAGCACTGTATAAACCATGGAATGGTTTCCTGACATCACCAAGTCCAAGCGTAGGATTCTGGCTTTGTTAAGGGAGACCAGTAACTCGTTTTGCTACGTATAGAACTACCAGGTAATGAATAATGATAGTGAAGCCACATAGTTTGTGACCACTTTGCATTCTGATAGATACAAATCTAACTCTTAAATTGCTGCAGGAAGCTGTGCATGGGAAAACTTTTCGAGATAGAGCTGTAGAAGAACCATCAGTTTAACTTTTCTTCTGATATAAATGTGGATCCTTTTCCATCTGGTAGAAGCTAACCCCTCCAGAATTTGAGATCCTACTTTCTGTTTGTAGTACATAGAATAGAATCTGCAACGACCAACAAGCCTCATGACCGACCACTGAGATATGATGCGTTTGCAAAGCTGAGCTGAATATTTCGGGACTTTTCTTGATGATGGTCCTAAAATCTTTTTCCCCCTTTTCCGACTACTTTATTGTTGGCCTGCTCAGAAGTGATTGCTGCAGACTGCATTTACTGTAAACAAGCTGCTGCAGGTGACTGTAGAAGAAGGGCAGCCAGGCAGCCCCAATACCTTAGCATCGCTATCCAGACAAGTAATATTTCAGACGGGGCCATTATGTGTGCATATGAAAAAGCAACAGATATATTATGCGTGCCTGTTCAGTGACTATTTTCTATGCATTTTGGGAGGCTGATACTGCAGGCGTCCTGACTCCTGAGTCCTGAGTGACATGGGCTGAAGGATGGACGACCTCGAATATTCCAAGGATTCGTCGAGACTAACATTGTACTTCCTTCGTCCCGAAAAGAATCAGTTTAATACTATTGAGTTAAATCTTTATAAGTTTGATATCAATCAATATTTATGATACCGAATAAGTAACATTTACATTTATTATGAAATATATTTCTGTAGCATATGCATTTGTTGTTACAAATGTGTGTACGTCTTTCTATAGAGTTAGTTAAACTTCAGACAGCTTTGACTAATCAGAAATAGAATTGTATCCTCTCTTCTTTTTGAAAGGAGGTAGTATGTTATGAGCTGTGCAGTAAGGATGTATTTCCACTTGTGGTCTTGATACATAGACGCAAGATGCTCATGTGCTATCTCTCTCGTCTGATTGTCTCTCCTGTACGGGTACGACAAAACAGCGCACCTCTTTGTATTTTTTACCCCATCTTCTGCTCTTCGTTCTGGACAGATCAGCGAGGGACAAGGTGTCCTTTGGATGTTATTCGTTGGACTCACGTGTGAGGACCATACCAACCAGTGTCCAGTGGATACTGGACACTAACAACAAGGACAAGAATAATTAGCCATGCAACTTGTCATCCTAAACTATTCCACAATATATATAGGGCCAATGAAAGGGAGCTGGAGTTAGGACTCATCCAGGAGATTAGTTTCAGTTCAAGCCTTTTGTGAGCGTATATATGTTAGCAGAAGAAAACCTTCTTAGGATGCGAGAAGAACGAGGATTACTATAGTCTATAGCGCATTGCATTTGTATAGGCACATAAGCAAAAGCACAGGACTACAGCAGCATTAAGCTAGGTTGGTTTTTGTTTTGGTGATGACATGGCACGAGTGGCTCCATTGAGTTAGTTTTATACTCCGTACATGCATGTAGAAGACTAACCAAGATCAGGGCTTGTGAGAGCACCAGAGGTTCTGGTCTTCTGGAGACCCGGAATGTGTTTGCCCTTTGTATTCACGCAGAAACTATGTGCCAACGGAAACAGCGGCACCACAGTAGTTTGGTTTCTCCGTTGGTGTGGTCTCATGTTCCATTCGTACTTAGAGTAAAGTCTTTCTGAAATTTACTGTCTAAATTATTATTTAGAGTAACAATCGCTTTTCTATATCTGTATACCCTTCAACAACTTTTTTGTATCTTGTGCGTATTTTGGAGAGTCATTTTCGCTCTTCATCTTTGGCTAATGAAAAATCCGAAATGGAGGATATGTCTATATTTCGAGATTTAATTGAAGAGACTATCGGGGTTCCTATAAATTAAGAAGCATGTAAAAAGTCGGTTGAAATTGTTATTATGATATGGATACACT